AAGTTCATCTCTGTTCCTTGCACTAAAATAACAATTAACTTATAATATTGCTTCCCACTGTATACTCAGTGCCTAGCACAGGGTAACAGGGTATGTTCTCAAGAACCCAGTTGCAGGACCTGTGCTGGTACTACACAAGAATCTGCAAGGTCAGTTTCATGAGAATCCCCTACCCTTGACATCTGATTTCCTCACCCCCACCTATGCCTAGGTGTCATTGACCATTCGGGCCTTCCTTCAGCATGAAGCTTGTTAAGACAGTTTAGCAGAATTCCCTCTTATCTCTTGAGCTTTCTCTTAGTAATCCTCCTCCCCCCTACTTTGGTCTTTGGCTACAAATCCTCACTTGTCTGTCCTTGCTGTATTTGGAACTGAGCCTAGTTATATACTTAGTTCTCTTTTATCTTACTGATACAGTTCCTGAATAAAATTTGTTTTTGCTGCTTTAACTAACGTCCAGCTCTGATTTCCTTGGTGGCACATAGCAAATAACAAAAAAGGTGCAAGAACAAAAATCAACCTGGGAATAAAATTATACTATGGAAATGTTCTGATAATTAATGCTATTTTTAAAAGAATTAAATTAGGCATCAAAATCATTTTTACATTTTCTAGAACCTTCAACACAGAAATCAGAATTGTTCAAAATTGTCTAAAAATACATCGTATATACTAAACATCTAGAAAATGAAAATACTATCTTTTGGGTATGCTTTAAAAACTAATGTAATTTTCCTAAAATTCCTACAATGTCATTTACTTAAAATTTAAGTTGCAATTCAAGCAATACTTATCCCATAACCTACAGGCATTAAATTCAACAACATACAGCCAGAATGAAATACAAAGGAGTCACTGGGCTCTAGAAGCTCAGTCTCAAGTAAGGGACAAGCAGACAAATTACAATACAATAGAAGCAAGCTTAATAGGGTTGAAGAGAGAGCTTTCTAGAAGAAGCTGCTAAATTTTGAAGTTAATAAGCAGACAAGACTAGGGACAGATACAATAGCACATGCAAAGATATAGTAACCAAGGAGGCGTCTGTCGCTCAAGAAGTAGGGTACCGGCCCCATATGCTGAAGGTGGCGGGTTCAAACCCAGCCCCGGCCAAAAAACTACAAAAAATAAAAATAATAAAAAATAAAAGATATATGGCTCGGCACCTGTGGCTCAAGTGGCTAAGGCGCCAGCCACATACACCTAAGGTGGCGGGTTCAAATCCCCAGCCCGGGCCCGCCAAACAACAATGATGGCCGCAACCAAAAAATGGCCGGGCGTTGTGGCGGGCGCCTGTAGTCCCAGCTACTTGGGAGGCTGAGGCAGGAGACTCGCTTGAGCCCAGAAGTTGGAGGTGGCTATGAGCTGTGATGCCATGGTACTCTACCCAGGGGGATAGCTTGAGGCTCTGTCTAAATAAATAAAGAATAAAAAAAATAAAAGATACAGTAACCAGAAGCACTTAGATGCTGCTGGCTAGGTACAAGGCAGCTGTTCAAAGGAGATATCATTAGAGGGAAAAGCAAAGTTCCCATTATGGCATGCTTCCAGAGCCATGCTTAATAAGTCGAGACTTACCTGTAGGGAGTAGAGAACTATACAGTGTTCTAATAACACGGTCAAATGATGAGACAAATTAGTGTTCCGGTAAGTTGAATAGTCAACAGGACAGAAACTAAACTTTAAAAGAGTATGTACCATGGATAGAAAAGGGGGCAAAACTAGAGGCAAGGTGATCTTATGAGGTACTACTATAAAATTCCAGGCAAGAATTATGAAAAGAAGAAGAACAGATAGAACTGGAGATAATTAAGTACAGGATTTATTCATTAAAAAGGTATTCAAGCTTTTAGAATTTGATTGGCATACTATCAAGCCCTGAGGATACACAGACAAAAAAGTATGTTTACCTTTGGCTAACTCATAATCTAGGAGAGATTTTTAAAAACCTCAACAGAATTACAAAATAATCTAATAACTGCTCTGACATAAAATCTGGCCATAATCCAGATAGAGGAGGTCAAGAAAGCTTTCTAGGTCAAGATCTAAATCCTAAAAATGATTTATAGATGGTAAGAAGAGTAGATCCCCTAAGCAGGAGGATTTTAGGGAGAGAGCAGCACCTACACACATATATGGGCAAGAGGGATATATATCTTCAGTGAACTGCAAATAGATGCTAGAACTAGAAATTAAAAAGCAGATAAAATTTGTGGGCTTCATCATGCAAGATCAGTTTCAGTTTGGAAAAACTAGCCTGGCATGGTGGTTCATGCCTATTATCCTAGTGTGCTGGAAGGCAGAGAGGCAAGAGAATTACCTAAGCCCAGGAATTTGAATCTACCCTGGGAAACATAGTAAGACTCTGTCTCTACAAATGCAAGACTCTGTCTCTACAAATGTAGATGAGCATGATGTTCTGGATGCTTTAGTGCCAACTATTTGGCAGGCTGAGGCAGGATGATCACTTTAGCAACAGGAACTCCACGCTGCAGTGAAAGGTGACTGCACCACTGCACTGTAGCCTGGGCAACAGAGTGAGAATCTGTCTCAAAAAATAAAAATAAATTTAAAAATTTCAATAAAAAAACTGAAAGATTGTAAAAGGCCAAATACAAATAATGCTCATATTTGAATGTCTCCATCCATGGGAACAAGTCAGATAATTCATATGAATTATCTTGCCCAACACGAAGTTAATGATGAAAATAACCAAGAGTTACAATTGATTTAAAAATGCTATTCAACAATGACATATACATTGTGACCTTGAACAAGCAAGCACCCTTTCTAAGTTTCTACTCATACGAGAAACTATTAATGACTTCGAAGAGGTCATGACAATATAGAAGAGACTACTTTAGGTATTAGGGTGAGCATTCCTAATCAAAAAATCCCAAATCCTAAATGATCCAAAATTTGAAACATTCTGAGCACTGATGTGAAGACCACAGGCATAAAATTCCACAGCTAACCTTATGTGGTGACTCATAGTCAAAAACTTTGTTTCATGCATAAAATCATTTAAAATATTGCATAAAATTGCCTTCAGGCTAGATGTATACAGTGTGCATGAAACATAAATGAATTTTGTGTTTAGACTTGGGTCCTATCCCCAAGATACCTCATTATGTATATGAAATCATTACATAGAAAAAAATCCAAAACCCATTTGGCCTAAGCACTTCAGATAAGGGATACACCTGTAGTAACATGAAAAGGGAGACTTAATATAACATTAAGCAATACCATATGAATAATATTGTCAATGGCAAAAGAAATCATTCATTTTAAGTGGATAAAACAAAATCCGTATTTACCACCTAAAATATTGCACACGAAGTGGCCATAAGCAAAGGGTCTTTGCTTAAGGCTTACATTCTTTTTAAGAATGTTAAGTCTAAGACATATTCTCTTAATTGTTTAAAGAATTTTATCTGAGCCAGACAGGTTTGTTCATGCCTGTAATCCTACCAACTTTGGGAGGCTAAAGAAATCAACCTGGGAAACTCAGTAAGAACCCACCTTCACAAAAATACTTTGAAAAATTAGTCAGGCACGGTGGCATGTATCTGTAGCCCTAGCTACTTGGGAGGCTAAGACAGGAGGATCTCTTGAGCCCATATCAGTATTATAATACATCAAGGTTGGTTCATCAATTGTAATAAATGTACTACTCTGGGGGTGCTGAAAATGGGGAAGACTGTACATTTATGGTAACAGAGAATCTATGGTAAATTTCTGTACCTTCTGCTCAATTTGCAGTGAACATAAAACTGTTTTAAGAAATAACATCTGGGCTCGGTGCCTATAGCTCAACCGGCTAAGGCACCAGCCACGTACACCTAAGGTGG